TCCTGGAAGTTAATTACTTCTGGGTTCACCGACCAACCGGTCTGCAAGGACCGGTAGGAACCCACCCCTGGCTTCGACATACAATTTAAGATGCTGGTTGTCATCTATAAAGTCCTCCGTGGTATAGGATCAGGTTCTTTGTCAGATAATCTATCTTCCATGGTTTCTGCCTGTCCAGTAAGATCAGACGTAGTTAGTATGCCTCAGATTCTCTTAATTAAACAATGTCAGCTATCCGTGTTGCGACACCTTCTCTCTAGAATAGTGGGTCTCAACCTTCCTAATGCCGTGACCCTTTAATACAGTTCCTCATGTTGTGGTGACCATAAGTTTATTTTATGTTTTCCATATTTTTTTGCAAATATGTGTTTTCCAATGGTCTTAGGCGACCCCTCTGAAAGGGTCGTTCGGCCCCCCAAAGGGGTCCTGACCCACAGGTTGAGAACTACTGCTCTAGAACCATGATGGTGAACATATGGCATGAGTGGAGGAAGAGGCACACAGAGCCATCTCCTGGCATGTGAGCCTTTGTTGCTCTTCCGGGTTCCGGTGCGCCGGCCAGCTGGTCTTCACACATGCGGGAGCACTGGAAATCAGAAAAGCAGTCGTTTGATGCGTATGCGTGTGCCGCAAAGATGATCTTCTGGTTTCCAGTGCACACATGAACACTGGTCACCTGGTCTTCCAGTTTCTGACATGCTCATTCCCGTTTTGGCACTCTGTGGCAAAAATGTTCGCCAACACTGCTCTAGAATAATATCCATGGTTTTCCCACTTTGACAAAGTTTCAAAAGTCTTTAAGAACCTGGCTGTACACCCAGACCTTGGGGCAGGCTGTTTTTAGGACCCTGATCAATTAGCTGATATGTGCTTTATCCAGTAGTATATTCTTATTATTTGTTTTCTTTTAAATGTAAGCCTCTCAGAATTGTTCTGAAACCAAGCAGCTTCTAAATAAATAAATGTATTATGTTTGTTATTTAGTCAAATGATAATATTTTTCTTTTGCTCTTTTTAGCTGTTGGGGCTCAAGCAAATATATCTTTCACTAAAGAGCCAAATTCTCAGGATGTGTTGCATGGTCGTGGTGCCATTTTGCGCTGTGAAGTGAAAGACCCTAGAGACATTGAATTTGAGTGGTTACAGAATGGGGAACCTTTTCAGGACACTGAACGGCGTTTCAAGGAAGGGAGCAACCTTCAGTTTGCATCTATTGATCGTCAGCAAGATGGTGGGAACTTCCAATGTGTTGCCAGGAATGTAGTTACTGGAGAAGAAGCTCGGACAACAAATGTATCTTTCAACATAAAATGTGAGCATTATCTTTGTTACTAACTTACATTGATGTTCCATCCACCTGTCAAAATGGAGAGAAAAGGGAAGATATACAACAAATGTGTCCTTTAAATAAGCCAATTTGACTTCGGCAGCAAATGCACTCATGTGCCAGGAAGCATTGGTTAACCATAACTCTCTAGTATCTACATATGAAAAATATTGGTTTGGATGGACAGCTCAAATCCTTTCATGGTAAAACTTGAAAGGAGCATTGTTCATGAAAATATAGTCTTATTTACCATTTCATAGTCAATGTCTATTCAGTACTAATGCAGTTAATGAAAACAATGCTAGTAATAAAGTACAAATATAAGGTTTGATACATGTCAGATGTTGCTAAACTATATGGCTTAAATTAACAGGGCATCATTTACATAACTAATTAATATGTAATTTAAAAAACAAAAGGATGGAACCCATAAAGTTAAAACAGAAATTGCATGAAAATATATAAAATATTCATGGATAGAATAACACAACCAAATGTATTTATTATTTATTTCATTCATTAGATTTTTATCTAATAAAGATAACTCAAGGTGCTGAGCAGAGGTGGGTTTCTATTGGTTCGCACTGGTACAGGTGAAGTAGTAGTGGTAATTTGACCTTGGACGCTACCCAGGCTGGCCACGCCCCCGAAGGTTCCCTGGTCGCTGCTGCCATTGCCAGCATGTTTTTAGTAGTTTTTCATGTTCTTCGTGCATGTGCAGAACAATTTACAGTGAACTGCACATGCGCGCATGAAGCAAACCAGTACCAAAGCGGGTAGGAACCCACTCCTGGTGCTTAGCATACGTAATACCCCCTTCTTTCTTTTATTTTCCCTATAATATCAACACTCTGAGGTGAGCTGGGCTGAGAGAGAGTGACTGGCCCAAAGTCACCCAGCCAGATTTCATGCCTAAGAACTCGTCTCTAGGTTTCTAAGCCAGTACCTTAACCACCACAGCAAACTGGCTCAGATCTATTTTCTTGTGGGTTAGCGAAAAAGGTTTTTCTTTATTATGCACTGCCAATTATGGCGGTGTAACTGGTTGCAAACCAACACACAAAATATTCTGAATGTTATGATACATATTCATCTATGTGCTTTAAATTAGTTACAGATAGATTGTATATCTGTAGAAGTATATATATACTTATACTTAACATTCATTATTATATTAATACATTAAATTCAAAAATATATTTAACTTATAACTGTTGTTCTTCCTCAAGCCAGCAAAAACTGTTATAAAATAATACCTCTTCTGTTTTGGTTTGATTCGGAATTTGCTCAGAAGATGCATATTAAAGTAGCCTTGGGGAGGATGGAAATATTTTAATTTAATCAGTGTCCTGATGCTTCCTGACAGCTTTTAGCTACTGAAAGAATGTGTGCTATGGATAAAATATATAAATGTCATGATGTCCAACTGCAGTACTTTCTCAATGACAGGCAGTTATTTTAGAATATTATTGCATCTTTTAGATTCTAAAATAATGTTGTGTATCGCTTTATTTTCAATAATGCAGAGTACCTGAAAACAATGGTCCTAACTTGGGCTGAGTCAGCTCTTTGAGTCAGATCAGTGTTACATCTACTGTTAATTCCATTTTTTGTTTAGGGTGAGCCAAGCTAAAAAAGAATTATGGGAGATTTTAATAGAGCCAGACATAAGCAAATGAGTCAGTTTTGCGTCTTGGCTGTCAGTTGGGTTTAGCACTCCAACTGTAAATTCGCCTACCTGGTGTAGTTAACATTTGTCTTTCTCTACTCTTTTCTTCCCAGCCCCGTAATTCTTTATTCTTAAAAATTGTAAGGAATATGGTAACCTATTTAATAGTTCCCATTGATTATATATTAGCTTTCACTTGTTATCTCTATTTCATATTGTGACAGGAGAAAGTCAGCCTTGGGGATGTTTTCCAGTGTGTGATGTGGCAGGGGCTACGGGTGGAATATTCTCAAAGACTGATTGGTCCAAAGACTGAGGGGGATTCTTTAATACGCCTCTTCCTCCCCTTGGCTCCCCCAGTTTCCTCTCAGTCTTTGGTCCAAACAGACTAGTTATTGGCTCTTCCTCGAGGAAATTACTTAATTCATTTAATTGGTTGATCTTTAATTGGCTTTAACCACAACTTCTTAAATTTCTAAATTCTTCATCTTGATCGTCTAAGTTAGTGGTATTGCGTGAGGCTGCTCGGCGCTGCCTCAGCGGGGGTGGAGGGCCGATTTGGCTATCCCCTCTTACCTTTGGAAACCACCTGGAAAACTGTTTATAAATATTGGCATTGCCAACCAATCCTAAAGCTCATTCCATCTCCCACTATGCTAGGGAAATATGTATTATTTATGTCTAGTATATAGTTAATTCCTCTTCTTTTATCATGGTTTTCTGTTTGTAAATGCTAAACAGGAAAGATTGCATTTTATCTGATTCCTTCTCTGTAAGGATTTCTTTAATAGTTACATAAATACTTTTTTATAGCTTCATGTAAAGTTATAGACAGGCAGTAATATTACTATTTATGTAAGCAAGAGCAATGCAAGTTACAGCAAAACAAATAATTCACTTGATTTTGCTTTTCCACTGCCAGGCATGTGCAGTCACGCCAAGGTGAACACAATTTTGTATTTCCATAGTGACTGATGAGTTCCAAAGTATACAAAAGGGCTGCGGTCTCAAACTGACTAATTTTACTGTATTTTTGAAAGGGATTGAAACAGGGAAAGTTGTCTTGAAGAATCCTGCCAGAGTGGAGGATATACAAAGTTCTTCTCCAGTAACGTTGCATTGTCACATTGATGGGCACCCACGGTGAGTCCCTACTTTGAAAGATTCGTGCTTATTTTGGGTAACTTTTCCTCCTCTATTCATTAGTGTAACTTGTCTCTTCCAATAACATCTTAGATGAATTTGAGTTGCTCATGCTCTGGTCATATCCCGCATCTCCTGCAAAACTCTCAATGGGGCTACCCTTGAAGAGTATTCAGAAGCTAACGCCTACTGTTGGTGGTGCCAGTCTGTTTCCTGATCCAATTCAATGTGTTGTTATCACTTTTAAAGCCATTGTGGCATGGTCCAGGAGGATTGGCTCCTCTCATTCACTCCAGCAGAAGAGGGCTACTTTGGGTTATGTCTGCCAAAGAACTTTGGCTGGCGGGATTCAGGGGAAGTTCCTTTTCTGCTGTATACCCCCCCCCCCCAAAAAAAAAATTTTCCCCTGTCAGAGGTGGGGGTCGGCCTCCACACTCGTGGTCTGCAGGAAGCACCTTAAAACCTGGCTCTGCTAATTGGCTCGGTGCCCCAGTAGCAATGCTCTATGGTATGGGTGGCTGAA